GCGACAACCTGTTACTGGCAGTTTGTCCATATACCGTTCTCGTATATATAGGTATGGTTTTTATTTTTTCGCAGGAGTTTACGCGCGTCTCGGGGACATGTCTCGAAACGCTTGATAATAATAGAAAAAAGCTCCGAAGCTCGTTTATTTTGAAACGAATAAGTATTGTAGTTGAGGAATAAAAAAGAGCCCCCGTTAAAATCATTATGCATCGCACGCATCGATCTCTCAAAGTGTAAAAATCGGCGTAGAAAGCTTTATTTTTCGAAAACCCTCTTTTGCAAATTCGCTCAAGCGTATAGATATACGATTCCTCCGGGAACTCGGCCCTGCACTGTTTTCGAAATCAAAGTTAGCTTTAAAAAAAACTAACAACATAAAAATCCAAAAAGAGCTCGCTCCACCACAGCCCTCTTCTTTCCCTCGGAGCCGAAAATTCCTTTGCGCTTTTTGCAGCCGAGAAAAATATTATACACCCCCGACGCGCACAAAGAGTTAAAAGGCCCTTCAAAGCGTCCCGCGTTTTTTATTTTATTTCTTCCTCGAGGAAAAAGCTAAAGGCGCACACACACGCGTGAAACGCCTCGTACCATAAGGAAGAAGGAAGGAAAAACCACGGCGATACTATATGGAACCCCGAACATTATTATTATTATTTTTGTTTTTTTCCGATTTACCACCAAACAATTTGTGTATATACGCGGGTGTAACGTATGAAGGGGAAGAGGTTTGTTGAAATTTGACGAAACAACGGCAGACAAGATACCTTTCTCTCTTGCCAAAGTTGGGGGAGTGTATTAGCGCTCGTTCAATTAACATACCACCTATGTATGTATGTATATATATATACACTCAAACTTCAATCGTGAAAGTTTAACGAGAGCGTTAAACGGCTCCTTGCGATCGCGATGTAGTCTTATCACGCGACGAACGGAGAAGGTAAACTGCTCGCGGAAGAAAATATGGACGCCGCTGGGACCCGTTATCACACGCTAGGGGGTATGGGGGGGGGGAGGAGAACACTCGCACACATATGGACTGGAGAAGCGGCTTAACGACGAGAGCAGCAGGTGTGCTCGCCGAGCGTGTCGTCGTCCACCTTGTCCTCTTCCGCGTACACACGTATCCCCGGTGGTACATTCTCGGCTGTGGTAGCAGCGACACGCGATGTGACTCGGAGACGACGTGTACGTTATAACGCGCATCAATCTCACGCGGAGAGAGAAAAAAAAAAAAAAAAAAAAAAAAAGGAAACGAGGAGGAGAGTCGTACTCACGGGGACGGTCGGACCAGTCTCGCCAGTATCGCTCGCGACGCGCTTCGAAATCGGCGCCCCGTCCTCGCGATGCCACCCGCGCGACGGTTTTTTCAACAAGGACGATAGTTACGTCTTTCCCGTTGAAAGGTCCATCCGGTAGTGCGGGGCCGTGTGTTTGTGTTAAAAAAACGAGAGGGACAACCTTTTGGTGTTGTACACATGTAACGCACAGGTTTCGGTAGATGTGAGCTTTTGAGCGTAGCAAAGAGAGCGGGCTTTGGGTATAATACATCGTGGAGCTTGGACATCGAGCGGGTGGTCCAGCGAAGACAAGACGAAGTCCCACAAGGGGAGAGGATAGTGGTTTCTCGAGAAAGACGGGGTTTTTCCGATTACTCCGATTGCACTCCGCGATGCGCTCTCTCTTTTTTTTTTCTTGTTTCTTAGAGTTGGGTATGGATTAAAGGAAAAAAAAAAAAAAAACGTTTTTTCTTTTCAATTAAAACTAATCGCAGTTTGTGTCCCGATTCCATTTGGGGGAACCCGATTTTACAGTGTGTCATACACGTAGCTTATTTTTTTCGTCGAGGTGTAGGAGGCAGTGGTCCGTACGTGCAGAGTTACGTTCCAGTAAACAAATGAAGCTTCCCGTTCGTTGCGTCGCTCGACGGCCCCGACTTTATTTACGCTAGATACCATTATACGAATTACGGTCGAGCCGTACACGAGAGGAAAGGAAAAACTCAAGGACCCTCTGTCTTTTTTTTTTTTCTTTTTTTTTGTTCGAGCTACTCAACTGTTTTGTATGGAATAAAATTTCTAGGTTGAAAAGGGGTGGGGAGGAAAAAAAGGAGCATAATAATAATAATTTTTCACGCGCCACGGAAGCAATAACGAGAATGAATCACCGTCACGGGACAACGGCACACCAGCGCGTATAACGAGCGTCGGAGCGTATATATATATAGCATTAAAATTATATCGCGAAACCTTACGACGGCCAAATGAATTTCACGGCGGCGAGGATAGTCGAGTCAACTTGAAAATTGAATGGCCGCGCAAACGAGAGGGAAGCTATATACGCGCGTCATAATACCGCGAGGGAAGAACTTGGAAATGATTATTCAAATCTGTCCCTCCTGGACGTATACGGCTTGGCCACCACCGTCTTTGAATCGTATACGTGTGCGGAAGCTCGTCGAAAAAAGAAAGGACGAGAGAGAGAGGAGCCTCCGAAAAGAGGGGGAACGTCTGCGCCTCGGTAACGACGCTTCCGTCCGGAAAATGGGAAGGAAGGCTCGCAAGGGAGAAAGAGAGCTCGTTATAAATCCGGACGAGGGCATCAAGAGGAATAGAAAGGGACAAAGGAAAATTAAGAAGCTCTCTCCGGTGGATCATACACTTTTTCCCTCTGCTGCAATTCTCCTCTTTTTTTTTTTTTTTTTTTTTTTTTTTTTTTTTTTCAATTCCGCGCTTTCGATCCGCGAAAGGAGTGTCTTTGATCGGACGGGCGCGCGACGGGAGAGGGGATATGCCTTTGAGCGGAATTTCGTTTCTCGTGTATACCCCTGACAAGTGTTCCGCAACACATATACCCGCTCGGGTATTGTTTCCCCTTCGCAGCGCACTGACGCTCTAGGATTGATACATGCGTGTACGCGGGGGCGTATGAATTATCTCGGCCTCTCGTCGCGACGCTGTACCTCCGCGTGACTATATTGGACGTCTGTCTTTGGGATGGCATGGGCCGCTCTCTTGTCAAGGCAACTGCGCTGCGTGATGGATCGGACGGGGCTCGAGGAAGGATTAATTCCTTTGTTTGTTTCTTTTTTTTTTTTTTTAGAATTTCAATGGTCGAAAGTAAATTGTCGGTTGCATAATGATTCCTTTCGATGAGCCGATTCGTAGTTCACCTATGCGTCGATTCAAAGTATAATGGTGCTTGAAAAATCTCAATATCGACACGCGCATATGAAATAAAAAAATAAACAGATTCCGCTCTTCCTTGCCGCAATGAAAACGTGTGCTTATACGTAACAGCCTCGACTTTCTCTTCCCCCTTTGTTCGCGATAAGCAGCAGGTCGACGAATTTCCCGTCTCCCGAGGGAAGGGAAGCTACGGAGCGAGAGTGTGAAAAAAAAAAAAAAAAAAAAAAATTAGGATTTCCAATCGCGCGCATAATCGACACTCGAGAGAGAAAGACAATGGAGGCGAGGAGAGAGCAGAGCCGTAGATGGGGAGATAAGACGGGGAGAGCGACGACAAGGACGCTTGCTCGGTTCAGCCGTGATTTATCGTAGCGGTCGCGCGTCTGTATTATACGACTGAGCGCAAAATCTGGGTGGGAGATGCGAGGGAGGAGAGGAAAAATACACCTACGATCGTATCGCGAAATCATCATTTGTTTGTTCATCAAGGAATGTCTGACGCAAAATACGGTAGTACTACTGCAGGGCGTTTTTTTTTTAAATTCATCTCCCACCCGCGTACTTGCTCCTCCTCCGGATGTCGCCCTACACACGTTAGAATGCGCGGCACTCGGTGTGTGTATTGGCGTTGTCTTTGAAATAAAAGGCGTAGCTCTACCCCTAGGAAGAAAAAAAAAAAAACAAAGCAAATGAGGAAGAGTCGTCTCGCCTGCCACTCGCTTACACCTATACATACCTCGTTTTAAACAGTAGATGTACATGTACAAATACACGGAGAGTGCTGTATATACATTCTCTCTCGTCTCTCGTTGCCTTAGCTGTTTTTATGTTCTTCTTTTTTTTTTTTTTTTTTTTTTTTTTTTTTTTTTTTTTTNTAGGTATACGTGTGTTGACAGCACACGTTTGCTGACCCCCCACTAAAACACCCCCCTCATCATTTTTTTTTTTTTTTTTTTTTTTTTTTTTCCTCCCCGAGAAGAACAGAGGAGAAACGAGATTGCGCTTTGACGCGTCAGTCTCGGGGCAAACAACGAAATAGAAATTACATTTGCAATTGAACCGAGAGAGCGCCCCGAGCTCTTCACTCAACGACCCCCTGCTCGGGCATGATTTTCGGGAGGACTAGAAAAGATTCGATCGCGCTGCAGAGACGTTGGCGTGCATAATAAACGTCAAATCGGCCCCGATATACACACTCGGACGAGCGCGAAGGCACTCGGACGGATTAAAAAAGTTTGGCATGACGTACATATATATATACACAGGTACACACCCCCAAAGGAGGACAGTGGTATATCTCCCCTCGCGATCTTTGCCTCTCGCTCGACCGAGCGCCACTGGCGTATGGTATATACTTACATACATAGCCCCTCCGTCGTCCTTATCGCCTTTCAAGGAGGCGCGGCGTCGGCAACAGTAGCACCGTCATCATCATCGCAGTTATTTTACGATACGGCTCTCCTTCTGGGTGAAAAAGAAAGTTGGGCGGCAAAAAATAGAGAGAGAGAAAGAGAGTGTTGGCATACTCAACTAGATTGCGTGTCATGTGGATGGCCTCTCTCTCTCTCTCTCTCTCTCTGATTAAATTTGTATAAAAAGGAGGGGGTGGGCACACCTATTCGCGCCCGCTCTAATTACTTATCCCGTTTTAATGAATCGCTGCTCCAACGGCTATACAGGATAACCGGCAAGTGCCACGTGTAATGACTGTGTACATTCGCGTCTTGGGTCGAGTATAGAAGAGACGATGAAAGTCCGAGTGTGGCGAGTTTGATTATCTCATCGGCGAGTGGGGGTGGGAGGAAAAAGGAAAATGGTGCAAGCAGGATTGAGGCTGCTGGCGATTGCCGAGGAGGTGAGGGACAGCAGTAGCGAGGACGAGGGGCTGTCGGCTGCCGACAAGAGGCTCCAGAGGATGGATACCGACTCGCTGGAGGATGAGGTGGGGGCCCTTTGTCCGCTCGCCCTTTTGCCTTTAATGAATGGACAGCGTAGAGCAGCAGTTGTCGGGGATCGAGGGACCTTCGTCGCGCGCTCGCTCGTTCCGCCGGAGGCTGCTGCTGCGCTTTTCATTTATTTAACGCCGAGCTCTTCTCTTTTCCCTTCCGTACCTTATTTTTTTTTTTTTTTTTTTTCCCTCATTCTGCTTTACTTTCTTTCTTCGCGTTTTCCGCATCGCAGCCAGATTCCTCAGAATATCATCGCTAAATTGACAAATAAACTCCTTGATGCGGACGCGACGCATATTTTATCATCATAATATATACTCTCTGCATCTCAGCTAATTTTCTCATCTTATCATTTTCCTTCTTTTTTTATAAGCTGCAATTAAAATGTACGTTTCCTTTCCTTTCTGTTTCTTCCGTTCTGTTATGTATCAATTAAAATTTTAACCTCAACTACTAAATAATAATAATAATAATAATAATAATAATAATAATAATAATAATAATAATAATAACAATAATAAATAAAGAAAATTATAAATCGCTAGTTTTATTCTGGCTCACAACTATGTGCCTAAATTGCACATTTAAATATGTATTATAATCTATGAATAGCATTAAAACTATAATTGGTTATTGAGCTTTAAATAATAGTGTAGAAACGTAATGTACTCTATGAGGTACGTACATCCAATTTTGAGAAGTAGTTATTTAATTGTTATGTGAAAATTCTGAAAAATAATTGGATTAATAAAACACGCGTAGGTGCCCACAAAAAAAAAAAAAGAAAACAGTTTGAAATCGTAGTATTAATTTTTTACCGTTTTGCGTCAGTGTGTACCCGTAGACACATGGATTACTTTGTAAGCCCTTGTACCTAGTTTTCAACGCGCGGCAGATTACCCCACTTGAATCCAATTACAAGCCCGTCCCTCTTCCTATACCGTCCACAGACACTTTGCAACTATGATAAACAAAACACAAGAACACGTGGTAAACGCCACCCACTTGTAAACAAAATAGTATATATTCAGTAATTAAATTACAGTTTGCCATCATATCTGGCCACGTGCAGGTGTGCGCGGTCCGTTTTTGCTCGTAACCCTGCAGTTTTCAACAGCCGGCAACTATAAGTACAACACGCGGGAGAGAGAGAGAGAGAGTTTGCAGAATTATTTAGCGTGTTTACGAGGCAATAATGGGAAAAGCCAGTCGACACTGTGTACATTTTCCCCCTTCCCCTGTACCCACGCGCGCTTTTTCCTGCATGGCCGAGACCGCGCGCGAAATGTTTTCCCAAATAACACGGCCCGTCCGACCCCGACTCGACCATTTTCTACTTGTTCAACTCTCGCCTGTACCACTTGTACAAAAAGGCTTTTTATTTCCCGAAAGCTCGTTAAAGTAGCTCCCGGAGCAGCTCTAATCTCCCTCCGACACAGCGGGCAACACTCACGAAGAAATAAAAAGCACGAATAACGAGCTCTTCGGGGGTGTGGGGGGCACGTGTGTCCAAACAAGCGGGCTCATCGCCCCCAGAGAGTCCACAAATAAGACACAGCTGCGGGGGAAAGGGAAATAAGTAATGGTCTTATTGACTCGCTTGTGTTTCGTTGCAGGCGTGCCGGGCGTCTTTGGCCACGTCGGAGGAGGAGGAGGAGGAGGACGAAGCCGATGGTCAACAGCAGAAGGAGGGAGCCGTGGCGGCCGGCAGGGTCAACAAGTTGGACATGAGCGGGAGCGGAGTGGCGAGGCTGCCGGAGGCCGCGCGAGCCTTCCACGGAGTCCGGGAATTCTTTCTGGGTCACAACCAATTGGCCCAACTCGACGGCAATCTCAAGCTGCTGCACAGGTACTTATACATTATATACCTGCAGTATACGTGTACCCACTCGACCATCTCTCCCAGCCTTCACAATTACGTCTCTGTGTGTGTATACGAGTTCATCCACACACACACACACACACGGCCCGGCTCGGGGTAACTTCATCGCGCCGGGTGTACGGAACTTTGGCCCGAGGCTCCATTAGCCCCTGCAGCAGACACCAGAGCTCGCGGCTCGGATTTTCACGGACTCTTGGCGCGCCGATTGAATTTCTCCCGCTCGCCGCAGCTGCTGGGGGTTATTAGTCGGGGGGGGGGGTTGCGCTTTTGTATCAACTTACTCGCCACCCCCCAACCCCCTGTTTGGCTAAAATTCGCGTTTTATGATACAACAATCCCCCTGGCCTTGGTATACACCTGCCCCCGGTGCAAGAAGCAAATAAGTTATTCCATTAAAAGTTGGGCGTGCGTGGAATTAAAAGGCAGTCTGTTTGTTGTTGTTCTTGCACCTTATGTTCGTGGAAGAATGCCATTTTATGAGCATCACGAGGTACATGTAATTGGATGCCCATCCTTTTTTTATACGGTGTTGTGCATTTTTTAATGAAAATCTCACGCTTCCAAACAGGAGTGAAGTTTTTTCTTGTCGCGATCCTCGTATATTATTACTTGTAAATGGAAAAGAGGCACGGCTAATAAAAATAAAAAAAGAGAGAGGGAGAATTTTTATGGAGAGCGTTTTGGAATAACAATCATGCTCTGTTTTAATATACTCGTCGGTCGGCAAAAAAGAAAAGGGGGTACGGTCCGAGGGAATATGAATTTCAAAGCAGCGGACAGTCGCAAAATCGCATCAAAAACAATTAAAATGCAATAAAAGTAAAATTTAATTTTCAGCTCATCCGCCTCGGATCGTTTTTACTTTCGAAAAATAGGTCAATTAAAAAACGGGCGCTAAATCGTCATACGGACGACGGGGGCGACACACACACACACGCGGGCGCATCCCCGTTTCTCATTACTCGAAAATGCAAACGAGAGAAGCTGCGCGTGTTATGCTGCTGCTGCCAACTCTGCACAACCCATATTACATTTATATACCTATACCTCCCCTTCGCCCTTCACCCCACGTAGTTAGCTCTCATGTACATATACTACATTATCCGGTGCTATTGTTGTTGCATGACAACGCTTGTAAAAGCTAGTTTCACGCAAATATAATAATATATTCAAACGCGGGTCCTGCTAATTCCCGTACAAGCAGCGTCAACAGCGGCATTCATTGCCATCGTACGCCTCATATACATATATTTATGCTCTCGAAAACAAAAACACACAATGAATTGTCTCCCTCGTGCGATCGTCCACCCCCTCCCCACCCGGTTCTAAAACGCATACACCCGCGATACGGCGCTTCTCGCAATGAAAAACTCAATGGCGGGTGGAAGAGCAGAAAGGATGAAACAACACAAAAGGGGCCGGCGTCGTGTTTCGGGTCATCCGCGAAGAAGAAGCCGTTAATCTGGCCTCTATAGCGCTGCCGGGGCTTTGTCACCCAACTCGCGTGTTATATATTCCATACAACCTACTCCCCCCCCCATTTCTTCTTTTTCCCAACTTAACTACCAGCTTTTTCCTCCTTCGCTATATATACATGTGCGTGGGGCTAAAACTTTCGTGCGTATAGGTATATATGTATGTGATGTATCGTACGCCACGCGCACAACAACGAGACCCGTCACCATAAATCCTCTTCACTCTCCTCTGATTTATCGCCCCCCCATTAATTGCGCACGTGTGTGCTCATACATACATGACTGTTGCACCTCTCGCGTGCCTTCCACCCCCCCCTTTTTTTTTCTTTTCCTCCAACCCTGCACCCATTTTTTTGCGCTTTTTCCGCCGAGTAAGTGTTTTATATTATACATGTGCTCGTTGTTTCTTTTCACGCCGCAACTCTCGCCCCGAATGGACGTCGACGAACGAAACAAACGAAAAAAAAAAAAAGCTTCCCCGAGCTTCGGGAGCTGCACTTGGAGAACAACCGACTGACGGAGATACCCAGGGAGCTGCTGTCCCTCGGGAGGCTGACCTTCCTCGACCTCTCGGACAACGGGATACACCGGATTCCAGCCGGCATCGCCTCGCTGACCAGGTAATGAATATATATATATGTACACTCGCGGCTGTTTGCGAATAATCGCGCCCAATGCCGGTGTATAAGGTAATGAACCAGGGCGCGCGGCAACTCCCGGGCGAAAGTTGTCGGAGCTCTCGGCAACGTCTCGTGTACAACGGGGATGAAGGAGGAAAAATCCGAGGACGGCGCCAAAGTTCGAGCGCCCACCTCGAGGAGATCTTAATTCGCGTGCAACTTTGCTAGAGTGGAAACTCGAAAAGAGGGGAGAAATCGGGGTGTATATCATACCTACCCCGGAGAGTAAAAAGCGCGTCGGGTCTAACTTTTGCGCGCGTACATTGTTCGCGCCGAGTGTGTCTCGTCGGAGGAACAATTTTCTTTTTTTCCTTTGCTCTCGTCAAATACACCGATAATCTGTCGGAGGCTCTCGGTTAATGAAAATTCGACCGTCGGCCCTTTTTCTACGCGACTTGTACAACCAACCCCTGGCGCCGTGTAATTAGAAACGCTTCTCTCCCTCCCCACCCCCTTCTCCTTGAAGATTCGAGAAGTCCGTCGACTCCCTTTAGTTTCCCGCGGCGCTTTTTTTTTTTTCCTCTTCACGGGAATAACTTGGTTGCAAATGATTAAAGTTCCCCGAGTCTGACAAATATGTACAGCTGCATAATCGGGGAAAAGACTTATGGGCGAAATAAAGTATACGTCTCCCGACAACCCTGGATTAAGAGGGCTACCAAGTTCCGGTGCAAACTGACGTTTCCCATTGTATTTTGGGCCGACTCGGATATATTATGTTGAAAACAAAAGTACACACGTATGTCTCGTCTTCGTCACTATCGTTATCCATTAGTTTTTACAAAATCTCTGACCGTATTTGTTTAAACTGGGTTGGTCAGAGTGGTTTGAGGGCTGGGGTATGTATTTTTTGCAATTATTCTTGTTCATTCCACATACAAAGTTGGATGTTCCGTTTCAGTTGGACTGTATAGGTTTTCCGAAATAAATATACGCACGTTGTACGTACAACGCTGTTGTAACCCCCGTTGCACACATTGTCGGATCTGCGAAAACTTAATTACGAAATTATTAATAACGCGTTAACGCACACAGCGAGCTTTATTTACGCAACGCTGAGTACTAATGTTTAATTAACGATAATTTATATACCCTCCCGAGCTTGTGCCGGCGCTTTTGCGTGTACAATAACACACTATAACTATACTAGTACTGTGTACACTCGAGCGGTGCTCCCGGGGCCGTGGGGTTTATTTATACCATAGCTCGTAATAATATTGTATACGCATCAGGGCCAGCTACATCATATATACGTATAGGTTTCAAAGATTATTTGGAAATAAATTAATTGGCCACGTTGAGTTTCGGCAAAAAATAAGCAGGTACACGATGATTGCGCCCAGCATCCTGCTGTATACGTATATGTATACATTTGTAATCGAATGCTCGAAAAATGCGTGGGTGAAAAAATGAATTGGTTGAAACTTTATGAGTAACTGGTTTTTTACCGATTATCCTGTGAATCTCGTTCGGGTAGGATAAGTGACTGGTGCAGTAAAGAAAATCGGCGAAACAAGCAGCGACTGGATTTCTCTGTGAAATTCACAAAGACCACCGCACGATTTGTAATCCGTTAAGCGAAAATAACGCGCGCGTCGATCATTTTTTGCGGTCGAGTCCCTTCGCGGATCACAGCCGTCAGCCATTATATTATACACCCGCCGCTATCTCGGTCCCTCCTCCCCCCCTCCAACCACCGTCTTCTCATCTTTCCGACGCGGGTGTAAAAAATTTTGACGTATGTTCGCAATATTTCAGCTGCGCGGATATTACGTGCGGTACACGGTGTATATACGTGCGCCTCGGAGCGCGAGATCGAGCCACCACCATGACGAGCGTACTGTGTGAAAAGTAAAAAAAAAAACAAAAAAAAAAAAAAAAAAAAAAAAAAAAAAAAAAAAAACGTAGACTACAGTGATGCTCATACATACACGTTGCAATAGAGAATCAGCTATACGAACTGAGAGGGATACAAAACAAACAAACAAACGCGGATCCTGTCCGATGAACGACTAACGTATATATACACCTTATATCTTTGACCACCGCGGTCGTCAAAGAGCGAACCCCCTCCTCCCGTTGTTACCGCGCGCCTCATTGATTGCTGACAATATAAAGTGTGCCCTTTTTTTTCTTTTTCTTTTTCTTTGCATTGGTACCCGTCAATGTTGTGTCGTACTGTGTACGTATTGTATATGCATGTGCGTGGGATGTTATGTATACATTATACGTTTGATGCAACAAAGCTATACAATCGTTACAATGCAAAGGTACCTATACGTTGTGCGATGCCCATGTGACTGGATACCACATGTATCTATTTACACGCATGCATTTATACCTTTTCTCGTATACAATGCGTCATGTTTACATTCGAGCTACCGATGGTACAGATATTGTACGTATATATCTACTACCCTTGTCTCTCCCCCTCACTGCACCCCCATTTAATCGATGAATCAACTGACATATAAATATGTCTGTGCATTAACCACCCGCGTGCAACAAATAGGTGTGCTCGTCCCTGCGCAACAAACAAATAGGATGCAGGTGCCGAGAAATCGGTGCGTATGGGTATACCTGTCCTTGCATCGGATAAGCAGCACTTGTCACGCGCGCGCGTGTGTGTATAATGTATAGAGGCAGTAATGTACACACCTGCTGGTGTTATACTTGTACGCCCTGTATATACGCATGTATATATACGTACGAGAAAAGCAAATCCCTTGAGCTACGCCATCGATATCGTCGGACTGTACAGGTATAGGAGGTACCTGGATGGATGTTGGGTTCATTTATATACACGTGGACCACTGGGATAGTACATCAGCTAGCGATTCCTCCAATGCTGTGTAGCTCTTCCTTCGTGTATATATGCGCACCGTCATAGTTACCTGTATTTTAGGCACGGGTTGGAATCTCTGAAAAATCAAAGGATCGACATGGAAAACGTATCTAAATTCCATTGTCTTGCAAACCAAAAAGTTCCGTTGCCTTCGACTTGGCCTATATGTACCCAATCTCGTTTTTACACTGCGGGTGTACCATTTCCTTGATTAACATAAAATTTCGTGAAAATTGCGGTTCTCGCTTTTATTTCGGTTGTAATTCAACTGATGAGAGATAAATAGCCAAAGCTTGAAAGAGCAAATAGAGTAAAGCGAGAGACATTTTTTTGTTACATTTGGAAATTGACAAACAACTTTAAAATGAACCACTTGTTGTTTTAACGTAACGAGTCAACACCGGCGTGCCGTATACACGTACCTATGTAGATACGTGCTTTTCTCCCAAAAATGTTCAGACATCCTGACGTATATAATAAGTTCGAGCACTTGTCGCTTCTTCCATCCCATAGTCTCCTGGGCCACCCTCTCGGCGATTTGTCTCTCCACCGACTTACATAATACACGTGTATGCGCGTATGCACCCCCTCACCTATACATGTGTATAACGTGTTTGCGCGAGACTGCGCGGGGCGCTTAGTATATATATACACATGGCCGTCTTACCCACCTGTTATCCCTATATGCACCCTCGCGTGTTGGTCCAAGGGAGCTCCACTGCAGGCGCACACCTGCGCTTCGGACATTGCAATTCCGCTCCAGTCTCCCCGCCTATTCATCTCTCTCCCTCGCCACCCTCCCTACATCTCATTTATCCCTTTAACTATACGTGCGTGTATAACAACCCGATCCATCCTTGCGCGTCTCGTCGAGCTTTCGCGGTGTATATAATTCTAACAATCGTTTCCGTGCCCATTGTATAACGCTATAGTATAGACTTTGTATGTATAATGTATTGCACGAGTCTTGCTAAATGAACCTATGTGACAAATTCTTATTTTTACGGCAAATTGCCTTTTTGCATCCGCGCGATATATATTTTTTGTATTATAGGTACGGCTGACTTGGGCGCTACTTTTATTTTCCTCGCACTTTCCTCTACTATATATATAATATATGGCACCCCTTGTGCGCAGTGTATATTATTATATGTATATCCTATATAGCGTTGAACGGGTAATTTTCGAGCTTGGTAATTTTATTGGACTTTATGGGAAGGAAAAGAGACTAGTATAGGCAAGGAGAAAAGTGCGCATACGTGTGCAGGTATCTATGTATATAGGTACGCGCGTGCACTTTATCGGTTTTTATACATAATATGCTTCTCGGGTGGTGTTGAAATTCGGGGGAGGTGGGAATATTGAAGCAGAGCCCTTTTCATTTTCAGAGCCACTTGCCGTGAGTTTATTACCGGGGGATCAGGAGAAGCGAGATATTTTCCATCCATTTTTTTTTTTTTTTTTTTACCTTTCCTTTTTCTGCTGCAGAAACGCGAAATTCGTCGCTATCGAATGTGCAAGACCGGACAACTGGCCTGGAAGGATCGTATTTTTTATTTCATTGAATAACTAACGAGCGCAGTTTCGCGCACCCGCCGGTGAAAAGCGCGCCCTATGTACCACGGATACGGAAGTTTTAAGCGCCCTTTCGTTGAATAATTTTTTTAATTTTTTACCCTCAACTTTTTATTGAATTCACTTACGAATATTAACCGTGCGTAATTGAAATTCTCGTTTTTTGCTACTAAAAAGCTTTTCGTATGCGGTACGTGTATGGGTGCGTTTAGAAGGGCCCTTCACAGGTATCTGCCAAAAATTTAATTACCTTCAAACCGAAGTTTCAATGAAATTTCAATTTAATTTGAAAATATCAGTGAATTTCAAACGTGTATCAAAAGCGTTACAAACACTTGCGTGTGTTTTGATACGTGGGGGTTGTTGAGTTCCCAGAACTTTCCGGGTATCGTGTATTTATGGAGTTTCGAGCAATTTTACATTAGTCATGAAAACGTTCATTTGATACGTGCGTGCAATTTTAATGTCCGTACTTTGTGTACAAACTTAAATTCCCTCCATTCGGGGTATATGCATACTT